GACTTATGTCTCCGAATCTTCCTTTTTGTCTTGCTATAGTTTCCGTTTTGGAGCTGGCATCGATAGCGTTATTTATCGTATTTTCTAGTTTTGTTACCGTGTCTTCTAGTTCTGTGATGTTGTTTATTGTTGGAATGTTACCGATGTTTTCGCTCACAATTCTTCTGAAGTTTGACCAATTTGTTATTTTTCTTTTGTGGGGTTGCAAATAGTTTAGTTCTATTGCTCCCAGGGTCAGGACGATTACATTATGCGTTGAATCGCCTTCGTTTAGAGAGTGTATCTCGTATTGTTGACCCACGTTGTGTAGGATTGCAATGTCTATGTATGTTGGAAGTTGTCCATGAAAACAGGTCGGTTCTGTTGGTCCGATCACATACGTGTTTGGTCTATTTTCGAGATGGCCGCAAAGACGTCTCCCGTTATTGTTGGTCGCTCTGTCGAACCAGTTGGGAGATCTCGCATTAAGGTCTCCAATAATTACCGTAGGTTCTTCTGTATCGAGGATTAGGCTCAAGTCTTCATCGAAAATCGGTTCGTTCGGTCTGACATAAGCTGACACTATTTTTAGTGTTTCATTGTTGGCCTTTAATCTTACTAGCGTGGCTTCCATTGTGACCAGTCCACCTGGTGTTGGGATGTGTTCGTGTTCTAAGCCTTTTTTTAACTAGTATGGCTGTTCCTCCTGATCTTGCTCTGTGGTCAGTTCTATAGATATCGTAGCCTGGAAATTTAGTTTCCTTCCTTTCCACTAATTTTGTTTCTTGAAGGGATACGATATCGAGCTCTAATCTATTTATTATCTCGTCCAAAAGGTTGAGTTTTTTGAAAATTCCTCCGGAATTCCAGGACCCTATGCGTAGATCTTCCGTATGGTTCGCTAGCATTGTCGATTTATTTCACCGAATGCAGTCATCATTTTTGTGGCCCTATCCATCACGGACATCATCTCCATCATTCTTTTATTGTATTCCGTTTGGAATGAAGCAATGAGTGCGGCTGCGTCTTGCATTGTTGGGGCCGCTTGTTGTGGGGCTCCTTTGGTTGCTTGCGCATAGCTGAAACCCGCGGTTGTTGTTGCTGGGTTAATTGGTTTGGCTGCCGGTTTGACGGGGGCAGGGGTCTTTCTTTTAGGAGCTTTAGAGCATCCTCTGTAATTGGCCGTATGCGCCTGGTCGCAGTTGGCGCATTTTGGGGCCGTTTCTTTGCTCTTTCCGCCTCATTGCTTAGATGATTTTCTCCGCACCTTACGCACTTCGAGTCGCAATGACAAGCCTTGGAGCTGTGGTAATATCCCTGACAGTTAAAGCACTGTAGGGTTTCTTTGGTTGTTTTGATTTCGTCTTCAAAACGAACTCTCATGTAGCACAAGTTTGTTACTTTTCTTATTTTTTGAATGTCATCCTCTTTGAGGGTGATCATGAAGAAAGGCAGTATGTGTTTTCCTTCTTTTTTAGAGTACATGTTACTTACTCTGGTTGCGTCTATTTCCTTATTTCTCAATTCATTGAGAATAAGTTCAGTACTTGTGCTCGATGCGAGCCCTTTTAGAATAACCCTCTTTAGCGTATCGCTGTCTATCGGGTAGGCAACGTATTCTACCTTAGGGGAATGTTCCTCTAGGATTTTTACTACTCCTAGGTAATCTTCCCTATTCTTAGTGTTTATGACAATAGATCTGCCTGATCTGGCAAACTTATTGTCAGAAACGATACCTTTTTTCGCCGCTTTCTGCAGGATCGCTTGATGTTCTGCGACCGTCTTTAAGATTATCGCAGGAGGTTTTGGTTTTCTAACGTTAACCTCTGTAGGTACCTGAGGTTTCTCGTTGTTTTCTTTATCAACTTGGGGCTCTTTTGTTGTTTCCTTTGCTTTGTTTTTCGTTGCCTCCAAGTTTTTTTGGGCTTTGTTTTGCTCACTGCGTTTTTGTGTGTCTTTTGCGGCCTTAGTGAGCGCTTCGTCGTTCCTTGCGTTTATTTTTTGAGTTTGCTTTTCAGCAACACTCAAATTCTTTCTTGGTTTCTCGCTACTGGTGACTGATTTCTCAGTAGCGGTGCCTTTTGTTTTCTCTTTCTTTTGGACTTTTGTCCATTCTGCTTCGCTTTTCTTCTCTGTTGTTACCTTTGGCTCTTTTGGCTTGTCACCGCTACCAGAGGTACTCGGGGTTAGGATTTCCCATGGAGGGCTTTGGGGTCTTAGTGGCCTGGTGGCGTCCCAGAGGTGTTCATCTTCTTTTCTGTTGGTCAGAGCCATTATATGGCCTACCAACTTCTTAATCTCCCCGTCTTTTTGTTTGTTCTCTTCACGAAGCTCAGTCATCTGAGCTAGGAGATTTTTTATTTGGGCGTTCGCCTTTTTTTCCCTCAATCTGCTCTCTTCTTTGAGCGATTTTATTTGCTCAGTCAGTGCATTGACCGACTTAAAAAGCTCATTGGCTTTTTCTTGGCTCTCCATCTCTTTGGTTCTTTTAGCTTCATCCTCATCTTCTGAGGAGTCTGCTGTCGGTCGCTGGCGTTTTTTCTTTTTGCCTACCTCCGGCTCGGCACCAGTCACTGTGGAGATGATGTCCACGTTAGTTGGGGGCGGGGCTACGGTCGACTCGGTGGCCGGGCTCAGCTCCTCGTCGACGTCGTTGATGGAAACCTCCATCGTGATCGAAACGCTGTCATCCGTTTCCACTTCGCTGTCAGTTTGGGTCTCTATGGGGACGTAGTCATCATCGGATGTTTCGTCTTGGGGCGCGGAGTCATTATTTATGTTCGCGGTAAAGCTATTGTAAATTTGTATTGCAGTAGCAACAGACGGGGTGGATGACTTGGGCCTGTCATCATCTTCTTTTTCTTGTGATGTCACCTGCGTGACATCACTTTTTTGGGAGGGGAGATTATCACTCATATTGCCGGAAGGCAGAGAACATAAGTTCAAGAAGAATTATTGGAGTTTACTACTCGGAAGACTCTGTTTTTATCTGCCCGTCTAGCTGCTGCCAGACGGTTTTCCTGGGTGTCGTCCCAGCAACCTCGCGGTAGTTCACTCCCTGATTTCTCAGGGAGGGATCCTCTTCAAGTTTCACAAACCTCAGAGGCAGGGGCCGTTTCTGTCCGACCTAGAGTTCAAAACTAGGCCTTACAGTGTCATACCTGTCGACCCACTGAGGTTATCCCGTATTTTTCGCAAACGCGAAGCTATTTAAAGCCTCCGCGAGGGGCCTATAAAGGCAACCCCTCGGCGGTTTAACTTAGAAACAGCCTCGCATCCGCTTTTCGCCTTGGTAAAGGACAAAGGCCTGAGCAAACTGGGTGTCTTACTACTGCTCTTCTTTTCATTGACATCTTTTGATGTTAATATATCTTTTCTCACTTCTGTTAGATTTGAGTTGACTTGTTGGATCTCTTTTTGATGTATTTCTCTTTTTCTTAATTTTGTGTAATCAAACGTTGGTTTATTTTTAGGTATTACAATCTTTTTAAGTTTCACGTGGATTCTAGCTATCAGCGGGTTATGGTCAGAGTTGACATCTGCTCCGGGGTATGCTTTTACTGCTTTAATTGAATTTTTGTATCTATTTTTAAATAATATATAGTCTATGTTATTTCTGACTATGTGGTCTTTGTTATCTGCAGAAGATCTCCAAGTGTACAATCTTCTATTGGGTAGTTGGAACATTGTGTTCATTAGTGCAAAATGTTCATTTTGACAAAAATCTACAAGTCTTTCCCCTCTTTCGTTTCGTTCACGTAGTCCAAATTCCCCATAATATTCGTCAACTTTTCCTCTCCCGACTTTAGCACTAAAGTCCCCCATGACTATTGTAATGTCTTCTTTTTTAATAGATCTTAAAATTGTGTCTAACTCCATATAAAAATGTTCTATCGCCTTTTTATCTTTATCCGCTGTTGGTGCGTATACTTGAATTAAGTTAACTTGTATGTTTGTCTTCAGCTGAACCATTATCACTCTCTTTCTGAGTAAGAAGTGAAGCTTATAACTGATTTATTAGTTTCTGTGTCTAACAAGATTGCGACTCCATAGCGATGAGCCGGATCGTTGTTTCCAGCATAATACATTATGCTGGAAAGATTATTCTTGTATTAAATTGTCTAATTTTTCTGGCTGGTACAAGCTTCTTACGTCCCATGTTGCAAGTTTTATTGGTCTACATTTGTGTATTCTTAGACGTGGAATTTTATTATCTAAACGAGGATTGCTAGAGACCTGGTACGCCTCGTCTTTTACATGATCTTTTCCTTCCCTGCCGGATCTTGGTTTTCGGATTACATGATCAGTAACGGTTTTGCGTATTTGCCATGATGAATGACTAGAAATGTTCTGTTGAACCTTTAATGTAGTGGTTTTCCGTTGCCTTCTGCATTCTTCTATTGTTGACAATTTATTCTTGGGCATTTGGAGTTGATTTCTCAGCTCCAAAACAAAAGAGTGTCCTACTACCTACCGACTTATCCGTCCGAAGCCGTTGGTCGGTAAGCAGGGGATTGCTTTTATACCGGCAATCACTTGGTCCCTTTCTGCGTTAGCCATCAACATTGATGTTACCCACCTTCTACCACGTAGAGGTGCAGATTCAGATTTTTTCTTTATCGAGATTAAGACCTTTTGGCATTTCCTAATCTCTCCAGAGCGTTAGAAAGTAAGTTCTCATGGCAACGAAGGTGTTAATCAAGAGGGATATTTTGAAAATGTATGTTATTTATTAAAATTATTTATTTAGAACAGATTGCACTAAAGCCCTATGATAATGTAAAAAAAGATAGATGTTCTATTTTTGATGTAATTTTAGTTAGCTAGTGTGCACTAACTCCAATTTGAAATTATCAAAATAATGATGAACCCATTTTGGTCTCTATTCGGGCAGAAAAGAAATTATTGTAATGTCAATTAAATTAAAAACACTTAAAGACGAACTAAACACATTCAAAAGACAATAGAGACATTAATTTTAAATGTGGGTATACTTTTTTTTAATTTTAACTTCGTTGCAGTTAACATCTGATGGAAATGTTGACGTAGAGGGTGCTATAGCTACTTTACCTGATGAAATGAAAGATTTTGCTACCTCAGTATTCACAAAATGTGGTAGTCAAGGTAAATTTTTGTGATTAATTATTTCTTGATAATTTATTTTTGTATTACTTGTGCATACTAATACATTTCACCTATTTTAGCTGGTACTAATTCATGTGATGTCGTATTTAATACAATGAAATGTTATTATGATATGGATAAAAGGGTAAGATAATTTTATCTTTTTAGGCATTATATAAAAAGTACTATTTATTCAATAAAATGGACCTATAAAGGAACACGACAAAATTGAATTAATCAAACAATTAATAAAGATGAAAGTTCTGCTTATCAGAGTAATATTGGATCTGTGGTAGTATTGGATGTATATGACACCTGAACCACAGAATATTAAACAGTATCAAAATGCTCACTCTAGTTGTCAAGATAAGTACGCGCATATCGTTCGCGCAGACCTAAGCCGGAATCAGTGCTATTCAGTAAATTGTTATCTAATATGCATAGATAATTTAATCCGGTTTAATTTCTTTACGGCAACCATAGAGATATATTATGCACTATTTTATTCGTATTTATAGTTGAAGAATTGATTAAATAGTCGGTCAGATAGCAAAGCAGGCTTGGCGGCCGGCTTCTCAATAGCTTCGATGCCCAGCTCGGAGTACAGAAAACAAAAAGACTAACGCAGCAGTTTAAAATTCTAAATGAATCTGCGGCTTAGTCTAGAATATGCTGGTGTCTGATCGGCCTATGGTGGAGCAGTACGGCAAGAGATAAGGGCTTGCGGCTCGGTGATACTCCTCCGTAGATCAATATCGTGTGCCGCCTTAATAATGGGTATATATATTATATACCCAAAAAATATCCACTAAAATGTTAAACCCGTCTGTCAGGTGGTTAGTTCGTGTTTACGCCATTGATTTAAGATGTTAGTACTTAACGGTTAATAATCACTTAGGAATGTTAAATAATAAATATATTTAAAATGAAATAAATACAAAAAAGATTGTAAACCTCAGAAAAATTAATAAAATTATACATATCTGTTTTGAAAATGATTCGCTGCAAAACTTGTTGTAATATTGTTGTCACATCATTTTATTGTAAAATCACTAGAAAAAAGTTTAAAGCCGAAAAAAAAAATTTGTTCAATAATTATTTTTGTTAATAATTTTTTTTCATTTTACCATAAAAAGTAATATAAATAAATTTGTAGTTTAATTTGCTACAACTAATCTCTAATAAAATTTTCTGTAGAATTGCTAGTTTATGAGATACAGTGCACAAGTTATTCCAAGATGGCGAGTATTCAAGAACACGGCCAAGTTCGGAGTACTGTAAAATCCATAGAAATTAACAAAATTAAACAATTTAGTAGTACCTCTATCTCTATAAGGTTATATTCATTTTATGCAAAATATCTATACATAATATATAATATTTATACAAAAATTATTATTATTAAATAGGGCTTTTAATTTTAGTTTTATTTATTTTTCAGGCATTCGTTTTACCATAGAAAAACCATTGGACTTAAAAAATGTAATTTTGTTTTTCATATTTTATTTTTTTTTTTGCATTACATCATTAAAAATATATATGTATTGATGGCTTAAATAAATATTTTTATATAGTTCTTTACTTAAATTTAAAAAAGAATCAAATAAATTATTATATAATACTAACAAAAGTATTAGCTGAATGTTGTGTTAAATGTGGGCTCCGAATATTTTTATTATTCGTTAGTTTAATTCGAAGTTTAATATAAGTTACAAATTGTAAATCTCAGTGATATATTAAAATAAACTGTAAGTGTACAAACTTTTTACATAATATCCAGTTTAATTAATATAAAATCAACTAGATCGCAATAATTTGTTATTGTTATCAATAAACAAATCCAGTTTTATCAGCAAAATAACCACTTCTAATAAAGGCCTATGTACCTGTTTTAGTAGTTATGCAGGGTCGGAATTACTTTTCACAAAACATTTATCGAAATGAATTCAAACATAGAATCTCACAACAGTTCTACAAAGGATTATTGGTTAATGGGTTTTCTCCTTTACAAAAGTTGAAAAAAGAATTCAAGGTCGTTTGCCGAAAAGTACTTTAACGTCAGGTAATTTTTGGAAAAACCAAAAATTTAATGGACTAAGAAACCGATGATGTGTTTGATGAGAGGGGAGGTTTGTTTGGATTGGTTTGAGATGGATAAAGAAGAAGGGAGTGAAAAGCTTGCCGGGAATAAACTGAGGAAAAGAATGACATTGTGAGTTGAACATCGAGAGAGACCGGTTCCGGTGAAAACATTTTTTTTTTTGAGAATTTATAAGAAGTAGTGCTTAGTGTTTGTGTGGAAAATTAAGCAGCCATTGTGGTAAGCAGAGACGAGTTCGAGAAGAAACAGAGGCATTTACTGTAAGTACAAACAGATATATTTTCGTTGTTTCTGAGAGGAAGCAGTTTGTTTATCTTGGAGTTTGAAGCTTGTGGTAAAGACATCACGACATTTTCACATACTGTTTGTCTTTTTCTTTTATCATCAAAAGAAACAGTAGGCGGAATAGCGAGCAGGGAAATTCGTAGGATAGGGGAAGTACATTGCGATCTGGTCAGGGCACAATCCAAGCAGAATCAAGCGAAGATAGTCTGTTTGAAAACCAAAGTTTTAAGTTTTGAAATAAATTCTATAAAGACATTCTATCACGACCATCTATCAATATTCAAGTCAATAGTTTGTAATTTGCAATATTTTTATAGTTAAGGCAAGAAGTCAAGGAACCAATAATTCTTTCTAAAATTTTTATATTAAGAAATATTTGATTTAGAAATATGTGTATTTAATTTTTATTGAGCATTAAGGGATGTGTGATTTGATGGATGATTGAATATTTTTTTATTCTATTTATAGTGTATGGTATAAGATTTATCCTCAACGAAATTTTAAATTAATTGGATATATTTTAAAATAAAGGACAATTGTTTTAATATCAGAATTGCTTGTCTAATATTTATTTTTCCTTTTGTTGATCTTTCTTATATGGAACTAGCAGAAGATACTTTGAAGCCACGTTTTAATTAAAAAAAAAGATAAAAATTATTTTTAGCCCTGAGATATTCTTTGCTTTTAAAGGTAAATTTATTACATTTCAAACTATATAAGTAGATTTACAATTATAAATATATATATATATATATAATATATATATATATATATATATATATATAATATATATATATATATATATATATATATATATATATTTGGATTGGATTGGATTGGATATTGGATTATTTATACTTTAACTGCTTAACTTAATTTGGCAAAATAATAAATTTCCATCAATATTACCTTTTTTAAAAGGTACAATCAGCTTAATCAAATTGATGGAAAAAAATGGTAAATCTCAGGTTAACGTGGACATTAGAATAATTTAATCGCTTCATTCCGGAACAAAATGGTGTTAGGCAAAATCCCTCAGGTATTGACAATACTCTTAAGCTGGATTTATAGTTTGACGGACTGTAGACGCAGACGCACTGGAAAAGATCAACGTAGACTTTTGTGTACTCTCATTTATAAATGAACGTAAGCACATGACGGAACGTAAGCGAAACGCACTGTAACGGAAGAGTTGGTCAACTTTCATCTTTTACAGTGCGCTACTTGCGTCTCAAATATTATTGAAATAATATTTAGTCCGTTTGTTACGTCTGCAGTGCGTCTACGTCTACAGTTCGTCAAACTATAAATCCAGCTTAAATCTAAAATCTGAAGTTCATGAAGCACTAGCAACCAAGCAACACTGTATTGCAATATTTTTCGATCTTAAAAGGGCATTTAATACTTATTAGAAATTCATTATTCTGAAAGAACTACATTTATGGAGTATTTGCCTAAAATTTATTAAAAGCTTTTGACGAAACCGGTCTTTTTTTGTGAGAGTAGGAGAGAAGGAGGAGGTCTGGGACAAGGAAGGTGTGGGATATTTCAAATTTTACATCTTTATTTGTGAACTATCAGTTCTGTACTTTCTCACTCGATGTGTTACTGGTTGTAGCATTTCCTATTTGTTTAGTGTTGTAAAATCACATGTGTTGTGATCAAGAGAGAATTTTATTATTTTCAGTTTTAAAAGGTAAGAATTTAACTTGTTTGTAAATTATTTTTTCTGATTATTATAATGTATCAAGGCAACATAGAAACCAATATAATTATAAGCTTTTATTTAAGTTTGTAAATTATATAATACGAAACCCTGGGGCACCTTTAGGTTATGTTTGTTCACTGATTTATTGTAAAATGCTCCACTGGGAGGACTGGGACATAGCATGCGTGGGAGGTCTGGGACATTGTCCCAGACCACCCCTGTTGTATTATTTTTAATTTGATATTATTTAAATGCTTTTAATAGTATATTTTTTCTTTGTTATCATGTAAGATGCCTCATAAGTGGAAGAAGAAAAATCCTGAGAGGACTGCTCCATTAAAGTCTCGCATTGTGGAGGCCATTCAGCAGATTAAAGAAGGAAACAGCATAAGGCAGGTAGCAAAGACTTATAGTATTTTAAAATCGTCTCTTCAACGCCATTTAAAGAAATATGATGAAGCTCGCAACAAAGCATGTGTTGTTTTTTGTTCTAATTTGATATGTGGTATGGTATTTTCCGAAGAGCAAGAATTGGCTCTAGTAGAATACATCCTGACTGCAAGTAGAATGCATCATGTTTTATTATCACTTCAGGTCAGAATTCCAGCGTGGCAATATGCAAGTGCTCTGAAACGTAAAGTAGGAAATTTATGAAAAGTTAACCAAATGGCAGGATATGACTGGTTCAAAGGCTTCATGGAACGCCACAAAGAACTTTCGCTACGTTCTCCAGAAGCTACAAGTCTAGGAAGGGCAACAAGCTTCAACAAAACCAATGTTGATATGTTCCTAAATAACTTAAAAACTATCTATGAAAAGTATAATCTCACCCCAGATCGTATATTCAACTGCGACGAAACAGGAATAAGTAAAGTCAATATTCCACCCAAGGTTGTGGCTAAGCGTGGTGAAAAGCAAGTAGGACAAGTGACATCGGCTGGAAGGGGGGAGCAAATCCCAAAGAGAGAGAGAGAGAGAGAGAGGAGAGCCAAGCATAGTAAATGCAACAGGAAACGCTTTACCACCTGTACTTGTGTTTTCCAGAATCAGATATAAGGAGTCTTTCTTAGATGGTGCTCCTCCATTCAGCATTGCACTAACTAGCAAGACAGGTTGGATGTTAAGTGATCTTTTTAAACAGAGTCTAGAACACATAATTCATCACACAAAATGCACTAAGGAACAGCCAATATTGTTAATTTTAGACAACCACGAGAGCCATGTGGGTTTAGAAGTGATAATGACAGCAAAAGAAAATGGAGTTATACTTTTAACGTTTCCACCACATTGTAGTCACAGACTACAGCCCCTCGATGTATCTGTTTTTGCTCCATTTAAAAGTCAATGTAACAGAGTTTGTAATGATTGGCTACTGAATCACCCAGGCAAAAGCATATCCATCTACTGTATAGGTGACCTTGTGGGGCAAGCTTATCCTTTGACTATAACGCAGAAGAACATTATTGCTGGTTTTCGAAAAACTGGCATCTACCCTTTCAACAGTGAGCCATTCACCGAAGCAGAATTTCTAATGTCTTCAGTAACTGACCGGCCTCCTCCATCTGGACAAGCTAATAATACTTCTTCCTCAGCAGAACAAGAATATCCTGAAATTGGCCATACAGCCAGTTCAGATCATTCCTTAAAAGTTCTTTCTATATCATTTGAAAAACCATCAACTTCTAAAGGCTCTAACGGCACTCCAGAACTTATAATGCCAATGAAAATCCTAATTACATCTGAGCAAATCCGACCATTTCCTAAAGCTGCACAATGGAAAGAAGCTCGAAGAGAAAGGAAGAGAGGCAGAAGTCGTATTTTAACTAGTACACCAGAGAAATCAGAGGCTGAAAGATTAGCTTCCGAGAGAGAAAGGAAGAAGTCTGGTAAATTATCTGTGGCCATCCGCAATATATCTAATAAGAAGAAAGTTTGTGAAGATTCTGAGTCTTCGTCCGAGGAAGCACAAATTCCATATCAAGATACAGATAATGATCTAGAAATATCTTTCTGAGTTCTGAAGAGGATGAAATACCAGAAATAGATTGGAGTAATAGTTCTGTAAATCTTAAGAGTGACGATTTTGTGCTTGTTAAATTTTGTACTAAAAAGTCTGTTGTTTATTATGTTGGCAGAGTATTGAACTGTGATTCATTAGATGAAGTTAAAGTTCAATTCATGCGTAAAACAGGAGGAATCTGGAAATTTTATTTTCCGAATGTGGGGGACAATAGCCTTATTGAGAAACAGGATATATTGCTTAAATTGCCAGCACCAATATCATCTGGAGGTACAGAGAGAGTAAAATCATTGTTTGTATTTCCGGTTAAATTGTCAAAATATAATGTACAATAAAGAAAAGTTTCTATTGTGTTAAAAAAAAAACCTTTATTACATCCTGTCCCGGACCTCCCTACTAGTGTCCCACTCCTCCCAGTGGTATGGGTGGTATGGGACATTTGCAGCTCCTCACACTATCCATTATACTTCATTTTAAAGAATACTTAT